CAGTGTGAAATGCTCCATAGGACAGTGCCCCTTCTCCTCACAAATGAGGACAGCAGAAGAAATTAAGCAGAATGTTTCTTCCCAATGCACTGCTCACCTGGGGTTTGTACGATCACTGATGTTGGCAAAGACCTCTCAGGTCATCAAGTTGAACCATGGATGCTCGTGAGCCAGCAGCTCTGGGCACCTTTGAGACATGGGAGGAAGGACACAAGGTCTGGATGAGCTGAGGGTTAGGAGGAAGCAGGATGGATCTCCTGAAGCTGAGCATTGGAGGAACTGCAGAATGGAGGTACAGGGTCTTATTTGGTGCCTGGTTCTCATGGGGGGCTGTGTGTTCCAGCACTGGGATCTCACAGGTGTCACATAAGAGACCTGACATGGTGACCATCAGCTGCCATTTCCAATTGACCAATGTGATGATTCCTATTTCAGGCCACCATTCTCAGGCCCTGCTGAGGACCTGAGAACAGCCTCAGTGACAAACTCTCCCTGTGACCTCTATTTCAGCCCTCCTGCTGCTTGGCTGCTGACTCTCTGGTCCTATTCAGGTCCTTTGGAACACGCTGAGGTTGCGTTCATGGACTCTTTCATCTCTTGCTGCAGAGCACTGCTTCATGTTCTTGTGATACTTTGCTGCTTTTATGTGCCAGAGTGGGAAGGATACTAGGTAAATGTGAAAGATATTAAATTAATTCACTGTTTTTTAATTGAAGAAGAAAGAATGAGGGATGGTGATCCCTTCCCTTCCCTTTTTTTTTGCCGGAAAATTTTCACATTAATATTTATTTCTGTCTGCAGGGGAATTATAAGAGAGATTATAAGTGAGATTTCCTATGTGCTGGCAGAGCAAAGGAGGAGTGTGGACCTGTGCTTACATAACGAACCCCCATGTGGCAGGAGGGGGTCCTGTGGCCCACAGCTGCCTGGTGATGTGCAAAAAGCAAATTGCTGTCACTGCAGACGTGCTGAGAGTGACTTCTGGAAGCTGGTAACTAAAATCTGGTAACTAAAATGTCATAAGGATTTCTCATCATGATATCTAACAGTTTTCTAGCACAAAAGGCATTTTGGCCAAAACAAACCCCAAGCCTATTCTGGACCTTGCTGGACAGGAATTTTGTGGTTGCCTAGGAACTGCTGATCACAGCCTGATTGCATCCAATAGGGGCTGAAAAGGGCAGCTTCGTCTGCGTTTCCATCAGTATCATCACTGTCGCAGCCATACGGTCCTATGGCAGCTTCCAAAGGGCCAAAGCAGTGCTGGGGTAGCTGCACTTGGAAGTGGATGGGAGAAAAGGGCAGAAAAGGGGAGTGCGTGTAGGGGATTTTGAGGAGAGTTCATCATGGATGATGGACAAGCCCTTGGACTTCATTGTAAGAAAGTCTTTGCCTAGAGGTCTTCCAGTCTCAGGAGCCTAGCCAGGGTAGGTATTAATGATACGAGAAAAGCAGTAGTTTGCAAAAGGAGCTTGATACCAAATGATGTGCATCAGGAATTATGAGTTCCGCCAGCTGATGAAGGACCGTTTTTAAAAGAGTGTGGAAACTGTGGCTGTCAAGAGGAAGCGCACACACGCAAAACAACTTTAAATATCTTTGAACAGAAGGAAAAAAATGGTTTCCAGCTGGTGGGTTTGTCAGTGTGTGGAGTGGTTCAATCCATGCAATCATCTTCGGTCAGTGTTTCTTTGTGGCATTTGGAAAGACAGAACGATGTGCTTTGTATCTCTAATGGGCAGTACAATCTTTCCCAACCCATCTTTAATCAGCAGAGTAGTAAATTATATCTGTGTTGTCAGGGGGGTACACTTAGAAATCAGTGTCTATGTAACTCGTGCTGGAGAGTCTCAGAAGAGCTGGTGCAGAAGGCTGAGGTCTGCAGATGTTCATTTTTAATCAGCACCAGAAAAGCTGGGAAAAGGCTAGTTTGTATTTTAAAAAGGCTGTTATTATATCCGGGATAAATGCAAGCTAGTAATTGTGGGCAAAATAATACAACAGGTGAAAGAGAATTCAATTGATGAGGAATTCAGAGCTAGGAATGAAACGAATGGGTTTATGAAACGCAGGTCTTTAGAAGCTTGAATTCATCAGCTTAGTCATGGTTATTAGGCAGGTCGAGGACAACCTGTGTTTTGCAAAGTGTTTGACACTGTTTCACGAGGCAGCAGGGGGCATTGCCCCATGGTGGGAGCTGTGCTGGGGTTGGCTGTGGTTGCACCATCCTTTCTGGGTATGGAGCGAGGTAAGGCCTCTTGTTGGGCTGTCTGTTATAAAATCGAGCTTTGTTTGTTTGTTTGTTTGTTTGCCCCACAGTGTTGCTGTAAGAATTATAGGTGAGGGTGGGAGCCAACTGCAAGGAACGTTTTGAAAAGGAAAAATTAAAAAAATAAATGATTCCAAAAAGGGTGGCGTAGTCTATTTATGTGGCTGAATTCCATCCAAGAAGGCATTTGGATAAATCCTCAGCACAGCTGACTCAACCCAGCTACCGAAACATGGACAGCACAGGATCTGTGCCCATTTGTGCAAAGCTGCATTGCTCAGTGCCTTCCAAAGCCAAGGGGCAGCACCTTCACCTCTCTGCCTTCCTAAGGGTGCTGAGGGCACCAGGGGGCTGATTGGAGCCATTCCTCTCTTTCCAGTTCTGCCTTCTCCAAGGGCTGGTCCCAGTTGTGGGCTGTAGGATGACGGAGTGATGCTGCCAGTGCCTCACTATTATAACTCCTCCATCACCTTGGCTATTAGCAAGAGCTCAGGAGGAATCCATGAAAGCTGAGGAGCAATGCAAGTTCACCCTGTAAGAAGACTCAACCTATCCGTTTCTCTCATATTTCTTCTTGGTTTCTAACAGTGACTTGAAAGGATACAGTGCTGCTGTCAAAGATGTGTCAGGAGCACAGCAGAGCCTCTCAGAGTTGCTAGGTGACTGCTGCCCTCAGGGCACAAATCCCAATCCCGCCTGCTCCTGGGATGAGTAATACATCTCGTTGGCATCTGTTGGACAAAAGTGCTGCTGCTTGGGGCTTGCAGTTTGAGTCACTGCTGGTTGAGCAGCAGGTTCCAGGGGTGATCCTTACACCTCAGAGGTGCTCAGCCCCAGAGCAAATCTCTGCCATATGGATGGGGTTGGAGGTCACCTGGCCTCGTGCTGAAGGGATGCTCTTGTCACATGAGCGTGATGACTGCAAGAAGCTGTGCTTGCTGGCCAGCACTCTTCATTTGGCAATCAAAGATCTCACCTGGATTTTTTCAGATCCTCTCTTAGAGGGTAGAGGAATATTCCACATCCTGATGATGAAAATAGGAAAAACAAGATATGGGGAGCCTGACCCATTCCAGGTGGAGTCGGGACTTGATGCAGGCACTGACCCCTTTGGGTCTCATGACATTTCTGTGGGCTTCCAAGGTTTTTAGTTAATTTCTCAAGTTAAATATAGTTATGGTATGACTTTAAAAAAAAGTTTTTTGACTGCCCTGCCTTCTGGTTTCACATGATTTCAGGTTAAATGCTGTTTTGGCTATGTCTCAGTGAAGGATTGAATTGATGCACAAGTTTTTTAAGGTCACTTCTCCCCAGATGACAAACAGGAGGTATTTTAGTCCATGGTAGCCGGTGATTTTAATGCCTGACTGCTCTGTTAAGAACATATTACAAAGAAATGGGAAACTTATTTCAGTGACATTCTCTGGCCAAGCAGAAGAAATGATAAACCACAGTGTTTTCAAGCTGTTCACCTTTGTTTGAAGGGTGAAGTGGTGCTTGAAGCCACAGCAGCGGGATGCAGCCCCCAGCACTTGTTGAGCTGCGACAGTGTCCAGAAGGCCACTCACAGGCTGCCCGTGGAAAATGCTGCACAAACACGAACTGAAGAGCAGGACATGCCTGAAGGAGTGCCATTAAAGCAGAAGGACTGAGACAGCGGGAGGAATCAATGGTAAAATAGGACCTGTTAATTTCAGCAGTGGTCTTGGGCTTGTTCCCTGCAGCTACAGCAGAGGATGATCACTAGAGAACCTCCCCGACCCCTACAGTTTTATGATAACCAGTTGGGTTCAGGATGCTTTTATGGAAAACATGCATCTTGCATCTATGAAGAGGAGAAACAAAGGTTTCCCCACCAGTGTTGGAAAAAGCTGGAAGCACAGTATGGAGCAGATCAGGGACAGCAAAGTGAGGGCTGTGCTGTAGCATGGCATGGGTGGGGAGACTTCAGGAAGCCCTGGGTGAGCTGCTGCTTTGATCTGCACAGAGGGCAAAGACTCACATAGCTAACGAGCTCCAGGGCAGCTCATCTGCCTTAGATTGAGGCTTTTCTCCAAGCAGGGATGGTAAATTGCAAGCAAAAATAATTTCTGTCAAGGATCTAATGATGCTTGAAGTTCCTGTAACCTTTCAGATAAACAGGGTGGAACAGCGCAGTGAATTTTGTAAGAAATCTCTAAAAATGTGCAGTGAACATAATGGAGCAAAATTGATCTGTTGTTTTTCTCTCTCAGGAAACAAATATTGCATGAGGAGGAAAAGAGAATACAGTCCAGAAAACACAGCTGTACTCTCAGAATGCATTGGTCATAGGGACAGCAGCTGTCCCCAGGCATAATATTTTTCATTAAAAAGAAAAGTAAGATTAGAAATTTCTCCAGGGCTTTTAAAATATACTCTGTCAGAGAATTAGAGAACTCTAAAGGTTGGAAAAGACCACAAAGATCCTCTAGTCCAACCACCAACCTCACTACTGCATGGCTGAGGGTGAAGTAGAAGCCTTTGGTGCACCTGTGGTGGAGGCCCAGAGGTGGCAAAGGGGGCAAGGATGAAAAAGATCGTTGTGTCATTTTGGGCTGGGATAGTAGGAACAATTTATCTTCCAAAAGAGTGGTGATGCAGTGGCAAAGCTGCCCAGGGGGGTGGTGGGGTCACTGTCCCTGGAGGTGTTCTGGAACATGGAGATGTGGCACTGGGGGACGTGGGCAGGGGGGGGTGGGCTGGGGTTGGACTTGGGGATCTGGGAGGTCTTTTCCAACCATAATGACTGTATGATTCGATAACAAACCTCTGGCAGACCCACACGGAGGGAGCAGCCTTCTGTACAAAGCAGAGGATGGGCTGCAGACAAGCAGGGAACAGGTGGGTGAGTGCAGGCTAACATGGAGAAGGAGCTGGCAGGCACTGCTGTGTGTGCTTATCGCAGAGCCAGCAGGGCTCGTTTTGATAGCAGCACGTGGCTACTGCCAGCTCCTGCAGCTGCCATAGGTGGTTTCAGCACTCCCATATCTGCTGCTGGCTGTGTGGGGACATGGATGCTATGGCTGCCTCATCCTCCATTGCTCTCCTCCAGCCTCGGAGGGCTCCATGTGCCCGCTCCAGCTCCACTCCCCTCTTTAGGTTTGGTTGCATCTCATCGTTAACAAGCAAAAAGCCCAACAGCCCCCCAGCCAACTAGGAAATGATTTCTCAGCACTCTCCTTGAGGACGGAAGCTGCGTCTGGTATTTCTTAGAATGAAAGCAGACATTTTTCTTTCCTTCTTTCTTTCTTCCTTTCTTCCTTCCTTCCTTCCTAGAACTTAATGTTTGATTAAGCCCTCTCCTTGCCAGAGGTGACATTTTCTGCAGCTGAGACAGCCGATGGAAGGCTGCAGAAGGGCACTGCAGAGGACTTCAGATGTTTCTGTTCCACATTTATTCTGTTAGCTTTCTATCGAGGTCACCGTGCCTCTTACCCGGGGCTTTGGCTCTTATTTGGCTTGGAGAGTTTGTGGCATCACATCTTTCTAGGAAAAATGGTGTAAGTTCAACTGGAACTGTGAAAAAGTTTGGCTGGAATTCATCAAGGATTGACCTAGAGATGAAAAGGGAGTGTGAAAATTCTCATTGAGTTTGTGAACTTTCTTTGTTCTCTTTGGTCCTCGTGGTTTACGTGTTTTTGTAGAAATCAGTGCACTTCAACTGAGCTAAAATCTCAGGAGAAAGAAAACGAACTCAAATCTGTACCGAATGTATTCATCAAGCAAAACCATTAAGCCCAGTACATTTCAACTCTGGAACTAAAGGCATCCTACCAGATTTTATTTTAGTTTTATGTACTTATGCACTTGGGTACAGTGATGGACTTTCTTAAAAGAGAATGTATGGGATTTGGGCAGGCAAAGCCATGGGGGATGCGAGGAGAAAAATGTCCTCAGTGCAAATCCAGCACGAGTAGAGAAAAACTTGTGTAATGCTTGCATGCTTGTCCATGTGCACACTCTTTGCATGCTTGGATCAGTGCATCGCACCCCAACTGATAAGGAGTGGGGCAAATACAATGTACAGAAGTTGGGGTAGTGAGGGGCTGTTTTCTGGTGCCCGTTTCCAGGCTCTGTTGAACATTTGGTCTTATTTTTGGATGGCTCTATATGGAGCCAGGAGTTGGACTTGATGAGCCTTATGGATCTGTTCCAGCATGTGGTATTGTGACTCTGTGATGTGGATCTTGGTCCTGGTAGTGGATAGGACATGACTGAAGGTCCCCTGGCACACCAAAGATTATTTTTTCCCCTTCTGCTGCTGAAGTTTGGCAATATTTGCAAATGTCACCGCCTGTCAGATTGAGCTTTTGCATTTCCCATCCCCTGGAGTGGAGGCTGCCTATCAAGTGTCTCTTCCCCACAGTTTAATGTTTCTGGTAAATGTACTGATTTGATTTTTTGATTTTGTCTGAGCAAAATAAGCGCGTGTCACACGCCTGAGCTGACAGATGAAGGAAAAACTGAGGCAGGGCCAGGAGAATGGAACAAGTTATCCCTCCTGGTGTTACACAGTTTGGCCAACATGAGGCAGAAGCCATTTAGTCCACGTGTTTGCACTTTGCACATCAGAGGGATGACAGAATGACAGGCAGGGCCTTGGCTTGGGCACTGCCTTGATTAAAGGATAGAAGTGTGCAGGGTGAGGGTGGCACTGCTGGTGACTCTCCATCAGTTGGGAATGCAGCAGCTGCACATCTGGTGGCCAAGAGTGGCCAACTGTGTGTGCCATGGCTGCCTGCAAATGGGACGTGAGCACGAGCTGTGCCCCTGCAGTGATGTAGGGTTGGGAAAGGGCGATGGGTCTTTTGTATCTGGCAGTGGATGCTGGCAATAACAGGAGCTTTTGTTGATGTTTAGCGATGACATATCAGTTTCTCCTTTTTATCTAATAAATACAATCTCCTGCACAGGCAGAGATTCCAGCAGAAGTATTTAGAAGAAGAATTAGCTCAAGCAGTGAGAGCAAATAAACATCCCAGAGAGATGCATTTGTAGCACTCCTAAGCCTTGCAATGTTCAGGCTTCAAGTGAAGACCATCAAGATGATTTTCTACTGACTCTTGCAAATCAGTATGACTCCCACAAACTGCTGATGACACATGCCTTGCAAAAGAAAAAGCCATCTCTTCTTGCTTTGGATGGGGTCATTTGCTGCATTTGCTGTGCAGCCTTCTGATTGCAGAGGGATGCACCAGGAGTCAGCAAGGTGCTGAGTCTCCTCTCCCAGCACAGCTGCTCTACACAAGGCTCCCTGCAACACCTGCAGACTTGCAAAGGGAAATGCAGTGTCTAACATACACCAGGAATGTCACAGTGAGGTTGGGGAGGTGCAAGTGCTGTGTGAAGGGCAACGCAAGGAAAGCTTGGACCCAACCAACCTTCTGCTAGAGGAATGTCCCTTCTTCTATCAGGTGCCCTCCTTGCTGTTTGCTAGGTGTGAAAAATCCCACGTGTATTTGCAGGGATTGAGGAGTTGACTAGATAGTGAGAACAAAGCCATATGCTGCGTGTCATCATTTATATCCTACACTTTCTAAATCCCCCACCAAGATCACAGTATTTTTCTCACTTATGAGTTTTATGGAAGGAAAATAAAAGCCTAATAGAAAGCAGAAGGAACTCCATGTTTTCTGCTTCAGCATCACCTGCTGGTTCCAATGGGATCTGCAAAGTGATGGATGTGAGGGGCCGTGCAGGAGGTGCACAGTAACCCATTTTGCAGGCTGTGGGGTTTTTAATGGGATGCGTGGGTGCTGCTCCATAATGGCTCATCACCTGAAGACATGAATGAAGAAAAGCAGGTCAGGGAGGACAGGAATAAGACAGAACTGTTAAGTCATTTAAATTTTATTGTCATACTCCAAGATTCACAGTGATGAGGAGGCATTAAAAGGCATTCCTGTACAAATCTTAACCCCCACTCACTGTCACTGCAGGACCGAGCTGCTGCACTACCAGATGGTAGTGGAGGCAACACCAAGACCATTGTGTAACCTCATCTATCTTCTGTGGAAGCCTGAAGTCTGCAGGAAAGAACAAATCCAAACCTCTAGAAGTATAATTGACCCTGAGGTAAGGGACCGATTTTAGAAATGCCATTTCTCCTCTCTTTCCCTTCCCCTTTCCTCAGCCCTCGTTCAGATTTACACAAAACCAGTTGATAGCTTGAGATAATGCTTCTTAATGCTTGTAGGAGCATTTTCATGCAAGGAAAAGATCTGAATAGAGCTCTCCATTTTTTGATATATTTGTTTTTAAACTTAAGAAAAGTTGGGGATTTTTGGCCCTTGGGCTCCATCCTCATGGATGCATGGCTGACCCTCAGTGCAGAAGATGGAGCTAATAAATCTACACCAAAACCCCAGCTGTGTGGAAGCTGTCCTGTGCAGATTTTTTACTGCATTAGGAATACAAAGCTTCCATCACACGTCAGGAGATGGAGGTGTGGCACAGAGGGATGTGGTCAGAAGGCATGGTGGGGTGGGTTGGTTTGGAATTGGTGATCTTGGAGGTCTTCTCCAACTTCAGTGACTCTGTGATCCTATGCACAGAGAGCTGCCCTGTCCTAAGAGGGCTGTAAGGAGCTTTATGCCTCCTCCAATACCAGCCCAATGGGCTGCTATTATTCTGGTTTGTGTTTGAGAGCTCTACAGTGACGAGTGTGTTAGGCTGTCTTCTCCTTACAGGCTTTTTGCACAGCTTTTCACATTTAGAACTGGAAATTGTAGTAGGTTATCTGTCTCTCAGCAACTTTTCACACATTTTTTCCACAATCAAAGGCCTGGCTTCATCACACACAACTCAACAGCAGCATCGGTTCTTCTGCCCAATTAGAGCCCAGACCATCAGTGCAGGAACATTGCAGCCCAGGTTGGCACCAATGAGTCCCAGTGCTGTGCTGGGTGCAGGTGGGACACGTTGGGAAGAGGGGATAAAAGAGCCGTGTGCGGGGTGGGGAGGGAATGTGATGGAGTGGGAAGTGTGGGAGCAGCTTGGTGGTGATGGCACTGCTTCTAGGTAAGGCTTTGGTTGGAGGAAGGTGGGATGGGGTCTCGCTGGAGGTGAAGTATTGCTTTTGGGAGGAGTATCTGAGCAGTGTGGTGTGCTGTAGAACAAAGGGAGGCTGTTCTCTTGAAGGGTGCTGATTATTTTTCAGAAGGAGCTGTGATTGTGGGGGTTGTATGGCTGGGTTGCTGTCCCTGGGGCACTGTTTAGAGGTGTTACCCTTTTCTGTCAAACCTTCAGGCCCTGGTTTTTGGCTCCTGCAAAGCAGCACAGCTCTGCTGGAACCAACTCATCCCAGCAGAGCAGTTGACTCTCAGTCCCACGTAACATTATGAAATTTGGAGCATATGTACAGCACTGCTGGCATGGCTCTTTGCATGACATCTTCAGAATGAGTTTGACAGTAGCATAAATAGCATATGCAAGAGGGCCTTATGGATCTGCTGCTTGTTGCATATTATTTACATACATATTCTGTACCTAGCTGATGGCTCCATGGCATTTGTCTTCCTTTTATCTCTCTCTCTTTTTTTTCTTCCTAGTGATGGTTTTGCCAGGGACTGGAATCTTCTAAAGGCAGATACTCAAGCCTCTAAAAAATGGATAGGAATATAATTCCCACTACAAGTCCTTGAAATCTCCAGTAAGCATCTATAACTTCTTCTTTCTAGAAAGTGGAACAGGAGAATGCTTCAGGAGCTGCACTCAGGTGGGACAGGACTGTGGAAACAAGCTGCCCAACAGCAAATTAGAGAGCATCTGTTGCTGTTGATCCAAATAACAAGAAGATCTTGAGTGACACTGCCTTGAGAAAAGAAAATTCTGAGGGAAGCAAACAGTGAATGGCCACTGAATATCACAGTGCTGGACTATTTTGCAGTAAATTTGCTGTTCTATGGTGCAGTGCAGATGTGGTGAGCAGGTCTTTGCTCTGAAGGGCTTTTGCCATCTGAGCACAGAGTTGTGCTCTTCCCTGAGGGACGAGAGGGTGAGGTGCTGGGATGGGGCTTGGAGGATCTGCATGCATCATTGCTTCTGTCTTACTGGTGGCTGTGTAAAAAGCACAGCTGTCATCTCCTTCTCCTAAATCAGAGCCTTTTCCTCTCCTGGCACCTGGGCTGTGGGGGCCCACAGCACTGAGCAGTGGTCACTGGGTGCTTGTACACAGAGTGGGGGGCCAATATCCATGTTCAGGGGAGGGAATGGCTGGAGGAAGGAGGGTTTGTCTCGTGAGACTGGAAAGATTTGCTCACTTCAAAGCTGATGGGTTTGAGATGGAAAAAGGAATGAGACTGTAAAGAGGAATATAATGTTACAGAGAAGATGGCTAATGGGCTCATTCAGAACCACCTGAAATGATCACTCCCTGGGAAATTGTGAATAATGGTGGCAAACAGTAAAATATCAGTGAAGGGGGTGACGTCAGGCACTCGCCTTCTCCTCTTAGAACTTGAGGGATTTTGCTTTAAATGAATTCATGATGTGAGCATGATCGGCTTGAATTACCTGTAAGCAGTGAGGATCAGCTCACCGCCATCCAGGCTGTCCTGCAAAATGCAGGTGGCTGCTGATGTTAAGTTACACCCCTTATCGAGGGCCCTGTAGTGATGCCTGAGGGCTGTGGGACCCCCACTGTGAGCAGCTGTTGTCCCTCAGGATGTGGCTTGATGACCAAGACATGCAAGGAACATGGGAGGAACTGAGCAGAACTGAAGCAGCTCTTCTTGTGCCCGGGTTTTGGGGGTGGAATGGCTCTCTCTTCTCGCACTGCGTGCTCCCAAGGGATGGAGTGGGAGCTGATGTATTCCCTGGCGTAGTAACTACATGGATTTGGGTGCTGGAAAGCAAATAGAAGGAGAAGGATGAAAGGAAAAGCGGAGAGATTTCTGTTGTATTTATGCTTGAGGTGGGTAGGAATTACATTTATTTTTCTGTCCTACAAGAGCAATAAGTTGATTCCAGTATTACTGCTGAGGTGCACCCAGGGATCAGCTGTGAGATTTTTATTGTATGCTGTGCCCATTGTGGATCAGTCCTTGCTTGCAGCCTCAGATGTAGGCTGGGATTTTGAGGTGCAGAGAGCAGGCACACATCACCGTGGTTCTGGCACATGTGTTGGGAGCAGAAGCACGGGGCTGGGATGGGGGAGCTCTGCTGCATCTGCTGTCTTCATGCACGTGTCTGGGTGTATATTCATGGTGTGATGTGCACGGGTTGGACCCCATTGTGAGCTCTCCCTGAGAATCTCCTTCCTCGTGGAAGGAAAAGAGGAAGGGACGTGGTGTCCCATCAGCCCCATTCTCTTTGGTGGGCTTTAGGGAGTGTCCCAGTGCAGGTTGAAACCTGGAGGAGCCTTTTTCCTGATGTTGGTTGTTCCCAGGCCCCTGCTTGTTCCTTCTGAACTTTTATTTATTCTTAACTTATCAGTTCTGATGCTTAGCATCCCTGAAAAGGGTCTGTGGAGACTTCTGCCATCTCCAAAAGGAGACTGATGGAGCAAATACGGAAGCTACAATGAATTCATATTGCAAATATTGAAGTCAGCGAGCCCTCTTCTTAATAGATGTTATTTCTCATTCTTCAAAGCAGTTCATCAGTGATGGAAGGCGGATAATCCACTTCTGGAATCCTTCTTCCCTCGTGTTCTTGCATGATTTATAACATAGCTGGAGGAAGAGAATTTGTCAGCACCATCTCTGTGAAGTAGTGCTGAATCCCATTGCAGGAGGGACTCTGGAGAGATGGTTTTGAGCCTGAGAGATGGTTGTTGTTTTTTCCATTCTGCCCTGACTTTTCATTCATTACTTCCTGCCAGCTCCTCTGATGCTGTTTGCCATAGATCTGTGGCATTATGTAAAGCAGTCAGTGTTCATAAACAGAACCCAGCATCTCTCCTGTCTTGCTGAGCCATTGCAGGGTGAGCAGGGACTGCTCTGTGCTCTTCCACAGCTTGGCTGCCCCAGGTCTCACTTTCCATGCTTATTCTGCACGTGTTCAATCTCTGAAAAATTCTTGCTCTATCTCTATCTGCCATGCAGTTCTTCTATATAAAATGCTGGTACCTGCTCTGGTTGTTTCCTTGGTGCTGAAAGATGCAGAGCGTGGTGGTGCTGCTCAGCACTGATCTGCTGAAGGGAGCAGAGATGCTTAGAGCTGATCCTTGAAAAGCATAAACTTTTGATCCACAAAGCAGGACCTTTTGTGCTTACAAATGTGTTTAATGGCAGAGAACAAAGCTACCTGCCTGTTGCATCTGTTTCTCACCCTACTAAATAGCTTAACCTAGCTCTACAATAAGGAAACAAGTGGCTTGATCAATGGCAATGTGCTTCCAATGGTGATGTGTACCAGTGCCATCAGTTCTGATGGGAGAAGGGTGTGCATGTCAACCAGAGGTGCTCTCAGTGCTTATAGCACGGGCAGTGATGGGAGAAATGAGGAGGTTCCTTTTGTGCACACTGTTGGTTGCTGGATTTTGGGCTAATGATTAATATCCAAAGAACACATTCCACCTGCCCATCAATGGTGAGAGAGCAAATGTTGCCAGAATTTTATATTTGCTTAGTGCCCATCAGCCCAGCAGTGAGAGATGGGTTTCTGACCCTCTGCTCACAGACCAGCACAATCCCCCAACCCACCTCCTTCTCTCTGTTAGAAATAATTTCCCATCTTGCAAAATTAATTCTCTGCTCTCAATGGCCTTGATTAAATAGCACAGCAAAGTGTGCTGAAGGTGGCAGAACAGCTCTGACAGAGGGGCTTCACCTCCTGCAACGGAAGGCATAAAGCTGTGGGCTTCTGCTGTTATGGAGTGCAGGGGACTGTAGGCTGTTCTTTGCAAAAGCAGCAAAAATTCTCCACGTCATGGAACAGTGTTTGTGAAATTAACCAAACTGAAACAACAGCAAATACAATTATTGGCACTGATCTGTTATGGATATTCTAATTATTTACCCCATTTGTGTATAATTTTGATTTGAATTTAATTTTGCAGATATTCAGAGGGAAGCAGGGTTGAGCAGGGAGGGAGGGGATGGCGTTTGTGCTGAGTGTGTCCTTGATTTGTGTTGATGCTCTGGGTGCATTCTGCAAATCCAGCATCTTCATAGTGTCATCTGCTGCCTTCATGTGCACCTTCTGGGCAGCCATCACCTGGAAGGAGGGTTTTGGTTTTGGCTCATTCTTTTTTGGCTTTTGTTACTTTGCTGTCTGCTTAGAAGCCCTCCAGCAGAAGAGCTGATAGCTTTCTTTTTCCAAGAAAGGGGCTGGGAGGAATCCTTTTGGATTTCACAGATGAAATTTTGCTGGCCTTCATTCTGGTGTGGAGACCCCAAAGGGTGCAGGGAAGATCTCTGATGAGGAAGGAGGTTGTCATGGGATGGCAGCCTGCACACTGAACTGGGGGGGGATCCTGGGCAGAACAGAAGGAATAGTGATCTCTTTTGTTAATATGGAACTGGGGGCTTGGAGGCACTCGGGGTCAGGCTGGAGGGGCTCTGGGCACGTGGTGGAGATGTAGGTGTCCCTATTCACTGCAGGGAGTGTTGGGCTGATGGCCTTTAGGGGTCCCTTCCACCTCAAATGATTCTGTGATTGGATTCAGGTTGGGGTCACATTGAGCAGAACAGAGGGATTGGGACTGAAGGTGCAGCAGGAATATGTTGGGTTTTTCTATGTGAGAGGATGCTGAGCGGTGTGAAGGCTGTCCAGGTGAGCTCTCTGCTCTGATTTACTGCTGTTCTTTCTTCAGCCTCTGAAAATGAATCCATTAACAATTGAAGTAATGTCTCACCCAGTATTTATTTTGCATGCCTGTTAATGGACTGACCAAAACGCCTTCAAACACCAGGACTCCTGCATCACACAGAGGGCTGGATCTCTGGTGTGTGCTTTTTCTCTTTGTTTTCTGTCAGAGCTGAGACCTGCTTTCATGGAAGCATTTAGGAACACTGCTGCATGTTCCCATACCATTACTGGTGAGGAAGGTGCAGCTTCTGAGCCAAATATCTCCAGACAAGCTTTAATGTGGAACTAGAGCAGCAAGGGCTGCCTGCTGGACCCAAGCTGCTCTCTTGGGCTGCATGTGGGCTCTGGAAGAGAAGCAGTGTTTGCTGCCCAAGGAGACTGTAGTCCTTCTCTCTGTTTCCTGGGCCATACCAGTGTGTACTGAACCGTTGGGTTCCACCCCAAAACTGCTGGAAAAACAGCTTCTGCCATCTGTGACAGGTGAGCAGGGCAGCAGAGCAGGAGGCCCTGCAGGCAGAGTGCCCTTGGTGTGGGATCAGAACGGGGCAGACCCACGGTCCCCTTTGCCCCTGTGTATGGGGATAGCAGGCAGCTGTGCTGACATCCCATGGCTGGTCTGCAGCTCCGGAGCTCCATGCGCTCCTCGAACTGAGACAAAGCAGGGGATGCTCTCGGTTACACCCTACCCTCCCCTCAGCCCTCACTTTGGCCACCGTTTCTCTGAGAACCCCGGCTCTCAGCCCTCCCTGCCATCTGGCCGTTTTCTAGGTTAGATTTCCCAAATTCTGCCTCTGCTCCGGGAGCGCTCAGCTCTCCCGGCTGCGGAGCGACCCCAGGTGGGTGCGGGACATTGCCGGGGGCTGCGGGGGGGTCGGGTGCCGGTGCTGGAGCGCATCTCCGGCTGCGGGGTAAACGGGGGGAGGACGGCAGCTCCGAGCGGTGAGGACGGAGCCCGCAGGTGTGGGCTCGCTCTGCTTTGGTGGGTTTGGCTTTTTCTTTTCTTTTCTTTTTTTTTAATTCATCCCCCCCCCCCCCCCCCCCCCCCCCCCGCCCCAATCTCGCTTTGCTTTTACGCAGTGACAGCAGCCAGGCAGCCGGGGCTGGCTCTGCCCAGCCGCCGTCCTCCCTCTTTCCCTCCCTCCCTCTCTCTCTCTCTCCTTCTCTCCCCCCCATCCTTCCCTGCTCCTTAAAACCTGCGTTCCGGGGGTGCAGTTCCTCCAGCGGAGCCTCCGGCCGTGCCCAACCCGGCTTTGTTCCCTGCGGGGCTGCCTGGATGCGGCCGCAGTAGAAGGGAAACCCGTACGCAGGTAAGCAGCCAGCAGGGGTTTACGTATCTCTGCATCTTTTATATATATTAACTTCGGGCTTTTCCTAGCGCTGTGCAGGGGATGCTGCAGGGCTGCAGCAGGCTGGCTTTGGACAGAAGGGGGGAGGGCGGAGGTGAGCTTTTAGCCCCGGCTGGAAGCTGCTGTAGGGGAGGTTTGGGATGCACAAAGCTGCAGTAGGGGCTTCCAGCCTCATCCGGGCTGCGGGATGTGGGTGGGGGGCTCCCAGTGCCCGGGAGGGATGGAGTTGTGCAGCCTGCATTCCCTCTGTGCTGGCGGTGTGGAGATATGTGAGCTCAGGGTGCACTGAGCTCTGGAGTCTGCATCCCATTTCCGTGCTCCTGGGGAGCTTGGAGGGAGGCTGCACACTTCCCAGCAATACATCATCCCTAGCATTCCTTGTGCTGTGAACTGCCCGTTTCACCAGCGGGTCTTAAAACTGTCTCTTTGGTGCCCCCAGGTCCTTGGCACAGGCTGGTGGTTCACGATGGACCCCCTCTTCCCTGCCCATATTTTGGAAGACCCCGACCTGAGAAAGCTGCTGAACGACTCCTCCATGCTGAACCTGAGCTTTCTCCCCAGCAACTGGTTCAACAACGGCACGGGGGACAGCTTCCTGCCGCTGAGCATCAAGATCACCATTGTGGTCGTCTACTCCATTGTGTGCATTGTGGGGCTGGTGGGCAACTGCTCCGTCATGTATGTGATCGTCAGGTAGGCAACAGACAGCGTGCAGGGGAGGGCTGGGAGCAGGGAGAGCTCCTCCTGAGAATAAATCAGTGCCGCAGGAGGAGCGGGTTGGTGATTCTCCGGTAATTGCAATGTGCTTTAGAGGTAATGGTGTGGCGTCTGTTTAATGGTTTGGGTTTTATTTGTTGTGGTTTTTTTTCTTTTTTTTCTTTTTTTTTTTTTTTTTTCTCTCCCTTCCTAGGCATGGTGAAGGTTCCCACCAGCTTTCAGCTGCCCTCTGGTGCCTCCTAAAGTTTAACCCAGAGAATGGAACAGAGCGAGCAGATCTGCTTGAAAAAATGGGGCTTTTTGCAAGCTGCTGGGCAGGGAGTGGGACATCCTGGGGAGGGCAGAGCGTTGGGAGCATCCAGGGTGTGCCCACTGCTCCGTGGGACGTCTCCCTCCTGCACTGTGCCTAGCAGCCCGCTGTGGGTGCAGGTGCTGCTCCATCTGGGAGCTGAACCAAGTTCTGAGGGGTAGGGCTTGCTGGGATGCTCAGACTTGCATTTTTCTGCCTGTAAATGCAATTCGTGCAGCTTTTCCACCTCGCTGGGAAATACAGGTGTAAATAAGATGCGGTAGGATGCTGCAGAGATAAAGGCAATTCCTCTGGCTTTGGGGTTGGGGGACCTTTGCAGGAGGACAGCGCGGAGACTGGGCTGCTCCTGCAGCACTGTCTGACCTCTCTGCCTGCTCCTGCTGTGGTTTGAAGCACCTTATTTCCTGCAGTCAGAAACCCTGCAAGTACAAAGTAAGCTCCGCAGCTGCTGGGGCTGCGATTCTGTGTCAAGTGCCAGCATCCCTCTTGTGATCTCAGTGCTGTGTGTAGTATAGAATCAGCTTCCATTCTATACAGGTATCAGCAGATTCCTGGTGTGAGTGCTGCCAGTGCAGAAAACACACTGTAAACTTTTGTTTTCTCCTTCAGCAAAGATGACTAAAATAATTAGCAGATATTCAGACGCTGAGATTAAATCCTGCTCTTGCCAGGAACCCCTCTGCTCCCAGAGCATCTCTCCACTGAACACACACAACAGTGCTGGGGGGAGATGCTGCCAAATGAAATGTTGGTAAACAGAGGTTGGGTCTCTGCCACAAGGACAAATCGACTCTCCTGTTCATTAAGTTGCCCAGCAGAGCTCTTCCTGGGGGTGGGTTTACAGAGAGGAGAAGGGATCACAGCCCTGCTGGGGAAGCTGGAGATAGAGGGAGGAGGTTTGCAGCATAGCAGTGCCACGCTGGGATTGCTTGTGTTTCTGTTCAGCATAGCACACTGATTGTGGGTGTGTGTGTGTGCAGTGAGCAGTGAATCTGCCAATGAAAAGTTCCTGTCCCACAGCTGCTGGGGGGGTGCCTGAAGTGCTGGCAGGGGAGGGAGTCCTCACCCAGAGCGTGTGTGAGCCTTAGGTGTGTGGCAGGAGGAGCTCAGAATTCCCTTGCTGGCTGCAGAAGTCTTATGGGGTGCGAGCAGCCACCATCATTTCATCCTCATGGAAGTGGGCTGGGTGCTGGTTTCTGTGACAACCTGTATGTGTTGGCCTCTGGGGAGTGGGGTTCCCCTAAGGAGCAGGGAGAGCCTTGGGATGGTGGCTGATGTGTCAGCAGGATCAAATACCACAACCCAGCATCCTGGGCAGGTGAGATATGCTGTACCTGCATAGGGCTACACTTCCAGAATAGTGGGTTGTGTTCTGGTCCTTTTGACTTGGATACTTTCCAGCAATATAGATTGGGCATAAGAAAAAGTGGCATTTAGCCCTGGAGTTTCCCCTGGAACGTCTTGTCCTTTGCTTCCCCATTGGTATCTCCTGGGAACTCAGCAGAGGCTGAGAGCAACACTGAGCTGCAATGGGCAATGATCCTTATGGGCTCACAGAGTAGCAGCAACTTTTGGGTATCCCTGCCCAGAACTGATATTTCCTTGCCCTTGCTCTCTGGAGCAGATGTAGTGATGAAACAAACTCAGTATCCCAAATCTGACCATGGCCAAGCACTCAAAATTGACACAGAGCTGCCAAGTTAGTGTGAGGGTGTGAGGATGCTGCTGTTGGCTTGGCTGACTTCTTGAGCATCAGTGCTGCTGGGCTTCGTGCCTTAAGATGCATCGTTTCTAGTGGGTTGAGCACTGGTTGCTGGCAAAACGATGTATTTTGATACTCTCAGCAGTAACACTTCCACTGATGGGGGAAGATGGGCGAATCTACTGTGTTGCATCATACAGAAGCTCTTTTCACCTTTCTGTGCTTGTATTTCATTGGGGATAACGAGATTACTTGTAAGAAATGGGCGTATTTTCTTCCACCAAAAGAACAGTTTGATGATGCAGGCAGTAATTGCTTTCTGTTTTTCAGGGAGTGGGGAACACAAAGACTGAAAGACTTCGGAGCTGAAGGAAATAGGAGGCTTCAAGAAGGCCTATTTGTTCCATTTGAATGAGTTTTTTCATAGCACACAGGGAAAAGTTTGGAATCTCTTGGTATTTCAGACCAAAAAAAAACAAAACAAAACAAAACAACAACCATATTCAAAGCCTCCTCTGGGTTTTCCCCTGTGTTGTAAAAGCCAACCTACCTCTCTATTGTATTTGGAGTGATTTAACATCTGGAGCTATTAATTTGTAGTGCCGGTCACCACGTGACTGCCAGTCCCTTTCCAGTGCTCGAGGCACTAATTGGATAAGACTGAGAAGGGCTCTTCTCAGGAGCACTATTTCCTGGACAGTAAAGGGCCTATTGTGGAGATCTGCCTGGTCTGGGGCTTTGTTCTGCTTGCTCATTGCGGAGTTCCTTGCCAGCCCAGATAATGCCTGCCCTCCCTCCTCCTGCCGTCTGCTCTCTTCTGCATACATTTCCTGTGCTGTTTTTAATGAGGGTGGAACAAGGAGTTGAACATCGCCGTGCAGAGAGGATTTGAGGAGTGAGTGGGGATAAGCAGACTGCTGGGTTCTCTCCTGTCATTGATCTCTGCAATGCTGGATGCCCCCAAACCTTTGTTTTCAGGAAGAAAAGGGAAGGCAAAGGGAGATGTGTTACTTTCACAATGGTACTGGGCATGGCTGACATGTGGGCTATGAGGTGCTGCAGACCCAGCTGCCCAGAATCTCCCTATGCATGAGAGCTACCAAAGCATTGCTGTGTGAGAGAGACCAAGCCCTGAAGCTTCATGGCCCCAGAGGTGCTGGGAGAGGGGATGATGGACAGCACACAGTTTCTGGCCTGGGGAGCCCTCTCACTCCACTTGTGTTGCTGTGATGCTTGGCAGTGATGGTCTGGAAAACTCTTCCCTGGTGCTGAATTGGGATCAGCCTCCCTGGGAATGATGCCTCATCTCTGGGGCTCTTTGCAATGGGGCTTCATGGGGTGGCTGCCACCCTCTGTGCCAGCTCTCCCTTCTTGGGCGCCTGGAGCAGTCAGCAAAGTGCTGGGGCTGCTCAGCTCTCCCTGCTGATGTACATGGTTTCAAAGCAGTTCAAGCAGCTCTTCAGGAGTTTAGATGCCAGATCTCTACTCCTTTACTCACAGCCTTAGTTCTGCCTTGCTGCAGGTCTGTGCTCTGTCCTTCTGCTTGAAACCTCCATCGATCCCTGTGTGAGGGCAGCTGGCTGTGATGAGCCAGGGAAAATGAAGTTAATAGGACATCTCAGAGATGCTGATTTCTTAATAGAAAGCTTTTTAATGGAAGAGTGTTGACCAGCTGTGTGGCTCGGAGCTGAAATTGAGTGAGTGGTTAATGCAATGCAGACTCAGGGGATGCAGTGAGGTCAGCTGGGACCTCTGCTCTCTCCACATCAGCCTCTTCTGGTTTTTCCTGGAGTGTAAACAGCAACAAAACAAACAAACAAAAAGACAATTGTTGTAAATTGCAGGGAAGGAAAACCCACGTGGAGGGGTCTGTGCTGTGCAGAGTGGGAGGGGGGAGTCCCTCAGACAGGGGTGGTGGGGGACAGATCTGCAGCTGTGGACATGAACAAGCTGTTCCCATGGCACAGCGCAGTCCTGCCCATCTCCTGCTGTCAGCTCCTATAGCTTCAGTGCCTCTGCTCTTTGTTTCCCCCGGCTTTGGTGGGATGAGTTGAAGGGAGTCACCCATGTGCAACAGTAATTGAGTGATGTTTGATTTGCAGCTCAGTTCCCAGTGCTTTTTGGGTCTGGGCAGTTTCCAGGAGCAGGACCAGCATCAGTCTGGACTCGATCAGTCCAGCAGAGGTACCCACAGCATCATGGGGAAGAGAGCATCCTGTGCAGAACAGCTGCTGTCAAACATCCTCCTTAACCTAGAGCCCTCATCCTGGCAGCCTTCAGCATCCTTACCAGCCTGTGGGTGAGCTGCAGGGGTTGGCACAGCCGTAACCCTCAGCATAGCAGATCAGGGCCATGCGCTGCCCCTGTCCCCACCTGTGTTGGCTCCTGGTGCTGCTCCCTGGAGACCCTTGCAGTGGGGGGACACATTGCTTACTTTTCAAAGCTGTCACCCAGACACTGTGGAGATTCAAAGGGTGAGAGAATTGCCTGTCTCAAAGCACCAGTGCTGTGGCAGCCTCCTTAACCCCTGCTCGTTGGTCACCGTTCTGCCCAGGTAATGAATTGGATTTATGTGCTGCTGATGCTGGCTGCTTTTTCAATGGTGTCTGGCTCCATAGTCTGAAACTCGTTTCTGAAATGTGCTGTTTGTGGCATGTTGAATTGTTAGGAACAAACAGGCTTAAACGGGGGAGAAATTCCAGGATGAGTTGGCTGCAAGAGAGTGAACAGAGCAGGTAGGATGTGCAGGGCACCGTGCAAGTGTGTGGCTGAGATGACACAAAGCAGGACAGTCTGTGCCAGATGGAATATCAGCTTTGTTCAACCTGTGGGCTAAGGGCAGGCTGGGAGCTGGGATGTCACTGATTTCCACAGATTCCTGCTGTCAGGGCTGGAGCAGCTCTGCAAAATCCCTCTGGAGCTCCTTCTGCTCTGTTTTGCTTCCCTGCCCTGCTGCAAGATCTCTGCGTGTCCGGGAAGGGGATGAAGGGACTGTCTGCATCCCAATGAGCTGGAGCTGCTGATGCCAAGAGGCTCAAAGAGGCAGAGGGCTCCTGGAGGTGATGCTCACAGCTCCCCAGGGCGTGAAGGCTTCTCTCTGTTCCCTCTGCCCTGATGCCTGCAGCTCTGTTTCAGGATCTGACTTTGCTGATTTTTACTCCTGGGGCATCTGCATGCTGTACAGCAGCTGGATGGACAGGAAGAACAGTGCCAAAACAATAGCACTGCAGCTTGCCCTGAGGCTCAGCCACAAGCAGAATCCATCCTGAGAAACAGCACCTCAGAGCCAGCATGTGGAAAAGCTGTCTGCTTCCCCTCCTCCCCCAAAATGCAGGTTCCCTTTCCTGAAGGGTTTCCCCCATGTAACACTGCTGGAGGTCCACTTAGCAGAAGGGAGGGGAACACCCAGTGCTGAGCTGCTCTACAGGTCTTTATTCTTCTTAGGCTTCAGGAGCTGGGAAAGCTTAAGAACAGAGCAGGATTACATTTATGGTAAAGGTTCAGTGGGATGGAGAGCTGAGAGCTGCTGGAGCACCCTGTGGGAGATGCTCCATTAGGAAATTACCTCTGTGACCGAGTGCAAGAAAGTGGCTCAGCAGGAGCTCATGTCCTGTGTGCAGACCTTGTCAGTGCCAGAGCTGTGCCAAGGGGGAGGGGGGGGAACTTATGTGCATCCTTGAGCCGAAGAGTTTAATTTCTCTTCTTTTTGTTGTTGTTGTTCGGATTAAGAAAGAGAACATTCTCAGTTCCCGGAGGAAAAGAAAAGAGAGGTTAATCCGTGAAGAAGTGATTAATTGATTTTTGTTTGTACTGAACATTCTGGAAATGTTTGGGTACATCAGTTTGTTGGGATAATGGCTGTTGGCTCTCAGCGTGCGGAGAAAGTGGAGTTAGAAGTAATTAATTAGGTGCAAATTAATTTCCCCACCTTTGAAGAGCACGAAATCAGCCTCAGAATCCACGTGAAGGTCGGCAGGAGGATGCAGGCAGATTGGTGGATCGTTGCTTGCTTCTCCTGTTGCTCAGAAATATATATATATATAATAATTATATATATATATATATATATATTAACCCAGTGGTTAAGTGGGCCATCTTTGTTCAAAAATGCAGCTGTTGTTCCCTCGAGTCATAGTGTTAATGAAAGAAGAGTGAGATGGAGGTGTGCTGATGAACTGCCTCCGAGTGCAATCCTCCTGCATGGGTGGGGGGAACAAGCTTGGCCTTTGGGAAGCCTGCACCGAGGGACACACAGACAGTAATGCTCCCAGGAGATATCTGCTAAGGCAGTCTTAGGTGACTTAATTTCCTGAAGCATGAGCTGACAATACTTATCTGTATGTGTTTTTGTGTGCTGGTACAGAACAATGATGCTATGCAGCACGGGAATCTTCTTTCTTCCTAAGGCAGAATCGCACGGGAAAGCCCTGAAGCACTAAAATCTGGCAGCTTCCAGGTTGTGCTGCATTTGTGAGGTGCCTTGCTTCCTCGCTCCTTTGCAAGAGGAAGGATGCTGGTATTTTTCCTTCAGTGCTTTTTGTTATATAAGTTCTGATCTTTCTAAGAACCCGCTGCCTTGCTCGGCTGCTGTGCTTTCTGGGCCAGGAGCCGCCTGACTGAGGCTTACGTGGAAACATCAAATGCTTCCGTCAACACTCACCTGCTCCAAAAGCTCCCCTTGGCTTTCAAGGGCAAACATAGGCTCCTTTGTTCTTGCTTTCTGAAACCACAGTCTGGCAGAAAGCACTTCCAAACACCTGGCTTCTAACACAGGCTCTGGCAGGATAAAATGGACTTCATATTCCCAACTGTGGATTCTCTGGGTGAGGTTACTGCAAATTTGCTATGTCACCTTGTGTCCTGGCAGAGTTCAGAGTCTGGCAGTGACAGTTTTCCTTCGAGCACCCAAATCATCTATCAGGTGTCAAAGTCCACATCACCCAGGATGGGTACAGCACTGATTGAGGTGCATGGCTCTGTGTTTGCTCTTCTGACTCGATTGGACTGAAAGAGCATGTTAGGTCAAATCAGACCTCATAATATTCCAGCACATACATCAGACTGCAAGTTGTATGGTGGTTTAAGGCTTTTGGTGTTGCCCTCAAAATGAACTTGTCCTCGGTTAATACATATTGTTGTCTGCCATTTCTGGCAACGCTTCTGTGAAGGCCATTAGTGTGCTAAATGATTGATGAAATGAAGTTATAAAATGATATCAATGTGTTAGCTCTTATGTCTGCGAGAGGAGCATCCTGGAGCTGAAAGAATAGGTGAACTTGGAGTCACGGCTGAGTTTCCATTCCTGCACACTCTGGATATTCTTGGCCAGTGATCACAACTTTCTTTCCATCGCTTCCCATGTGCAAAGAGGAGACGACTGACACTGGAGCAAGGTGAATCTTTTGGGGCAGCCTGTTCCTGTGATAAAAGTGACAGAAGTCACACAAATCATTTGGAGTTGGCTCATGACTTTATCCCCAAGGTGTCATTTTTCTTTCAGATTTTTTTGATGTCTTGCAGCCCATTGCTAACCAGCGCTGCCATCCCACCCGTTCTGCTTTGACAGCTCACATTAACTGTAGCCTTTGGCTATGAGCCCATACAGATTGGCTAATCATCTTACTCCTGGACCATATGATGCCTTTCAAATCAGCTTACTGGGTAAAGCTTTCACTAGTATTTATAATAATGAAGGCATATGTGATGAAATCCTAGATTAGCCTTACTGAAGTCATTTTTCATAAAACACGAGCTGAGCTGACAGCCTCAAGTGTTCGTTGTCCTTGGTTGTGGTTTATGAGGGTGAGCTTTTTCTGCCTGTGAAACCGATTGTGAAAGCAGCATTTCCATCAGTGCGGAAGCTGGGTAGGAGCATGTGGGAGGCAGAAAAAGGTGGCAATATTCAATATAGCTCTTTGGTAAGAAGAATGCAGCATCTCCATAACATGAATGTCCCTTTGGCACACTTCAATGCCTTACCCATTGGGGTCAGGAGGAGCTCTAACCATTGCTCTTTTTTACATTTCAGATTCACCAAGATGAAGACAGCAACCAACATTTACATCTTTAACCTCGCTCTGGCTGATACCTTGTGTCTGATGACCTTACCCTTCCAGGGTACAGACACGTTCTTGGGCTTCTGGCCTTTTGGCAACGTCCTCTGCAAGATTGCTATCTCTATAGACTACTACAACATGTTCACAAGCACCTTCACCCTGACGATGATGAGTGTGGACCGTTACATCGCTATCTGCCATCCTATCAAAGCTCTGGACATCCGCACTCCTCACAAGGCCAAAGTGGTGAATGTCTGCATCTGGGCACTCGCTTCTGTCTTTGGCATCCCAGCAATGGTGATGGGATCTGCAGAGAATGAGAACAATGGTCAGTCAAAACACACCGAGGGGTTGGGGGTTTTTATGCCAATGGCCAGGAGAGCTCTAAGGTCCTGGGGAGCCTTCTGAGGGGGTACTGGTTTTGTCAGTGGGCTAATTTCCCTGCTATAAAGTCATTTAAGCTCATTACTCTTTGTTGTTGCTTTTCTGCATCACTGTTATTGTTTTTCAGTATTAAACATGCTTTAATGAAATGGAATGTGAAGGTCCTTTTGTTCCTGATATGGGCTTACTGATCTTCTTCTCCTTCTTACTTTTTCTTTGCAGAAATCGATTGTCTAATTAAACTCCCTTCACCCGTGGATTACTGGGATCCAGTGTTTGGCATCTGCGTTTTTCTCTTCTCCTTTATGATCCCTGTTCTGATCATCACCATTTGCTACAGTCTCATGATCAGACGCCTCAAGAACGTCCGTGTCCTCTCAGGCTCCAAGGAGAAGGACCGGAACCTGAGGCGCATCACTCGCATGGTGCTGGTGGTGGTGGCTGTCTTCATAATCTGCTGGACTCCCATCCAGATCTTCGTGCTGGTCCAGTGCTTGGGTGCCAAGGCCGAAAGCGAGCTCGAGCTGGCCATCTCCTGCTTCTGCACAGCGCTGGGGTATGCCAACAGCAGCCTGAACCCCGTGCTATATGCCTTCCTAGATGAGAACTTCAAGGCTTGCTTCAAGAAGTTCTGCTTCCCTACCGCCTTCAGAACGGAGCTCCAGATGTCCAACAGGATGTGCAGCATTGCCAAGGATGTGGCTTATGCCTGCAAGAACTCACAGGGGACTAACAATCCGGCCTGACTAGGCATGGAAATCCCCATGGTGGCTGTCGCCCAGCAGAGTCCAACCACTCCCACGTCAGAGCTAACTCAGATAACGGCCCTTTAGCAGGACCTCAAAACTGAGAAACCAAGGAAGCAATTTTGGGAGTTGGGAAAATTGGACACTGCAAGAGCATGCAAAAGAGCTGATTCAATCATTTTTAGTTCCGACGTGCCCTGCACTACGGAGCACATTTGAAATCGGCCTTTTGATTCCTGTGAAACCCTGGTGGCTTGCAAGGCTATCGAGAATTTGGGAATTAAGGGTTTGAAACAGGCTTGCTCCTGCATCTTACGCTTCTGCTGCTGGGAGACAGACAAAATGCAGACTATTCCATTTCTTTTTCCTCCCTGAGTCGTTTCAGATCCTCGGCTCTTGTACCTCTCCGGGCGTTCGTGCATGGGTTTATTCCTGCGGCACCGCTCTGAAATTAGACTTTGCTGAAGACAAAGTGGGCAACAGCCGTCAGACAAAACCCAAGATCATCTCCAGGATGAGTCATCACAAGGGGAAGGATGTGGGGAGGGAGAGGAGGGAGCAGAGCTGGCGGAAAGGGAAATTCAAGCTGCCGGGAGCTGGCGAGCTCTGCAGAAAATCCTCCACCTGAGAGGGGAGAGGAGGAGGAAAAGATGGATGAAATGAACACAAATCCTTGTTTACATGCTGCTATTGTTTGTGGGGTTTTTTTTTAGCATTATCTTCCCATTGTAATAATGGACAGAATGTCTGTATATACACATATGCGTCTCTATATTGCTATGATACAGCTATATTGTAAGATGTTTGTCTTGCCAAGCATGCCTTGGTGATCTCCCTCAGTGAGAGGAGGAAGGAATGAAGCGGATGGAGTGGCCTATGAACACATGTACCTATGTACAGGGGGAAGGCATCTCGGAGACAGCTCAGCAGCTCCTCCAGAAGACAAGGATGTTTCTGGTAGGAAGGGCAGCCTACAGCCACCCCCTCTGCTCCGTGTGTGCAAAAGATGGCTTGCTTATTTATTTTGGCAAAGTGACGTCACTGATGCTGAGAGCTTTGGGAAATGCTGCTGAGGTGCCACACCTTCTACCAACTTGACTGATTTTCTTTTTTTTCCCCCTTTTCCGGAGCTTCGTGTAAAACGAAATGCTCAGCTGTTTCATTTGGTAATGGAAGTGTTCCCAGAGAGTTTGACCGCTGAGTGCCCTCTGCAGGGACAGTGGGCCTGTGTTCCTGTGTTCTTCCTGAAGTACTGTGGCCACAGAAAAATTTGGGAAGGAAAGCAGTAGCCCTTGCTTGGAGATGGCCAGCTGCGGTGGCAGCCGAACTGTACAGACTTCAAGTGAATATAGTTCTTGTGCTCTGGTCTATGAGATGCTGTATTTTTAATGTATCACTTTACCACTATTTTAATGCTATCAAGTTCTTTATATATGCTGTTTAAAAAAAAAAAAAATCTGATGTTATATTTCTATGTAGAGTGTTTCCCTTATGGTTGGGCTTAAAATATAGACACAGTCCCAGCATCCCATGTGTAGGACCCAGATCCCTTGTAAACTCTGCAAGCTGGGCCCATTCTCTAGTTTATACTGGGAGTCTGGAGGGGGGTATAAGGGAGAACTTTACAAGTAGCACTTCCCCTGAGTAGCTGCAGGAGAGGAGGAGGTCTGGGCACTGTAAGCACTTTGTGATGGATTTTTATCCCCAGGCACTCACCAGGAAATCTCATACAGCCCTAGGCACGCCCCGAGGACGGTGACAAAGCAAGTTTGATGAGCTGTTGTGCTCATGGATGCAACGATGGCGTTGGTCACTGGCAGTGTGGGGTCTTCTGAGCCACACGATGTGGGGTGACGTGGGGTGTTGGGTATGAGTAGGGATGTGGCTGCTGGGCTTTCCTTGCAGTGCCATGAGGCAGAGCAGAGAGGTCCTTGGCGGCTGCCTCAGCAGAGCCACGCTCCCTTTGTAGCTCCTGGTTGTGTTTTTAAACAGATTTATGTCCTCTGAAAGTGTTTGGCACTTTTTATATAAGGATTTTGTTATAATGACTATGCTGCAACAATCTCACATAATCGAGTAACCAATAAATGTGTGTTTACTGAGCTTTTGGGTAATTCTGTGGCCCTTGCAGTGAATGTGTATAGGCATTCTGTTCATGCTCGGTGGAGTTATAAGAAGAGCAACAAAACCTGGAAGCAAAAGCTTTATTGTATTGTGCCTACAGAGTTAAAGGCTTGTGCTCAGCTGCCCAGCTGAAGTGCAGGCTCTTTAATTCTCCTCTAAAATGGTCGTGTTGGTATGATTTTACAATTACTGCAGTGTAAGTGACAATTTCCTTGGTGGCTACTTGTGTGCTTCAATAAAGGAAAATAAAACCCCTGTGCTTGGAATGATGTGGAATCTGAAAGTCTTAGCCGTGTGGGTCAGCAGTTGTTGGATGGGATGCTGGCACGTGGGCTTGTGTTTCCATCTGAAACCCCTGCTGGGTGCATGCAGCTCCACCAAAGCATCCAGTCCCATTTTCCTGAGGTCAGTGGGACTTCTGTTGTGCTGACTTTGTCTGGAGGCAGCCTGCATGCAGAAGAAGTGAGAAAACGGGTGATGGAGAGGAGTGTGAGCTCCTGCAGCTTCTGGGTCCCACTCTGCAGGGCTGCAGGGCTGGGCATGGTCCTGCAGAGCAGTGAATTACCGGATTGCTCTGAAAACAAAGCCTAAGCAATCTTCCATAGCCAGGAAAGATTGATCACCCTGTGCGATGTGCAATAAAGAAAGCGTCTTCTCTCTGCATGGAGATCGATATTCCTACCCAGACAGGGGAATATCAACAGAGGTTTCTTTATTAGCAGTGGTGATTTTATTTTATTTTATTTTCCAGGAAAAAAAAAAAAAAAGTGAGAAAATTGATGAGGAAAAAAAAAAAGAAATCTCTATTGCTCCTCTAGTCCAGTTAATTATAAGTACCCAGGGGTGAGTTCTTATGGCAAAGCTATAAAATAAGCTGCTTTATTCAGTACTGTGGAATTCATTAATGCTCTGAGTGCTGTCCCTGCTGCTGGTGGCTGGATCCAACTGCTGGAGGGGCTCAGGAGGAGATGAACTGAGCTGTGCCCTGCCATACTCCTGTCTTTTAGGATGCTCTGTTTTGTAGGGATGCTTTACTCAGTGGGGCCGTGCCCCCTTCACCTCCCCCTGTCCGGGCTGTCCTGCCCACAGCTTTCCTCTATGGTGAGGTTTTATGCCACAAAGGGGATGAGTTATCTTCTCCTGTGCCACAGATCAGCCCGAGGTCCTCCAGGTTCAGGTGAGTTTCCAACTGAAATCACCCTTCTGGTGCCCACTGCCCTTTGGAACCACACCACCTTCCACCATCCGCAACTCCAGCCCTGATAAAGACATTATCTAATGCTGACAAGTCGCCAGGGCTATTTTTACAAGGTGTTTTTTTTTTGTGAGGAGCTAGACTGTAAATATGTCTGCTTTCTTTTCTTTTTTTTTTTTTTTTCCTTTCCCAGAGGCAGATTTGTTAACTCCTTCAGGAGCTGCAGCTGTGCTCTGCTCCTTCTGTGCATCCCTCAGGTACTGCTGCTGGGGAGCAGCTGTGCATGGGTCTGGGTGCCCCTACCCTGCTCTGCTTTGCAGGGGGTGGATGCTCTGCATGGCTATGCCCTCCCCAGTGAAAAGGATTTGCAGGAGCAGCCCTTACTGCCTGCTGAACGGGCAGCCTGGCAGCAAAGCAGAAAACCCCCACTTTGCTTTCCCACTCATTTCCCTGTGCTTCCTTTCAGCTATTTTGGTGGGTACTGATGTACGAACCGAATTCCCTCAGCAAAAGGAGAACCTCCTTTTGACGGATCTGGAAGGGTAGGTAATCCTGCTTGTGCATTCCTGGCCACGCCGTGTTTCCATGTGAATACGTGGGCAGAGCTTTGCTGCTGTGACTTTGCAGAACCGGCGGTGCATGCTGGCACTCAGCACTGCAGAGCTCGTTGTGTTCACTGTGTGAATCACATCCCCCAGTTCCACCGCCTGTGGTTGGGATAAGGGAGAGAGGAAGGGAACAAGAGGACCTGAGGCTTCAGCACCAAGCACTGCCCCAAATTCCTGGTGCTGGGTGAAGAACTGAGATATAAGAAGTCAGAGCATAGTGATGACAGTTTGTGTTTGGCACTGGATTTTTGGGGTGGGAGGTGATGCTGCTGCTGAGCTGATGCACGCCTGTTTGGGGTGACTGCCTGCTCCTGCCATCCTGCCCCTTTAGGCTTGCTCAAAACATGTCATAACAGATGTGTTAAGGCCGTAACTCACTCTGAAAGAAGGAATTCCAGGATTTTTCAGAGCACTGAGAAGATGTGCAAAGGGATGAGGGCGCTTTAGATGAAAGAGCCCCACAACTCCTTTTGTTCCCTTCAGTCCCCTGAAGCCTGGATAAACTGCATGACAGAATGAACCAATAAATAGAGAAACATGGTGATGTATCTTGGCAACAGTGATGCTAATCAGCCATGTAAACCACCTTTGCTCTCCCTCCCTTAATGCAGTGCAATCCCAGCTGTCTGCAGCAGAGGAATGATGTGGCTCTGCACCCTGGGACACCTTGTTACCCTCTTCCCCTGCTTTGCTCTGTGAGCTGCTGCTGCCTCTGCCACGCATGCAAGGTTTCTGCTTTGGCAACCCAGAAGCTCCCTACATGCTTCCTGGAGTAGGAAGTGCACAAAGATACTCCAAAACTGGCTGGGTTCATCTTCCCCACTGGAGAACATCTGTTCAGCTCCCAGGGTATTTGCTCCTGCTGGAAGCAAAACTGCTGCTCCATGCTGGTGCTGCTTGGAATGTTCCTGAGCAATCTGCAGGTTGGATCACCTGTAGCTCTGTGCAGCACAGCGTTACACACATCCTTGCTCCTCGCTCCTGCTTTACTCCCCACTCCATGCGCCCTCCTGCAGTGTGTAGGTGCTGGGTGGGAATTCCTACCTGCACACACCACGTTAGCACCTATTTCTGGGAGAAATCCTATGCACTCAGCCCACTATTGCAGCAAAGATGCTCACACTGCAGCACAGAGACTGCAGCTCCTGTGCAGATATCGGATTCTGCTTCGCCCTTTCCCTTCCAAGCTGCAGCCAGGCAGGATGCTCAGGATCCCAGAGCAGCACTGGCCCTGCCAAACAGCAGGTTTTCCACACGGTGAAGGATGAATTTGCAAGAAATCAAATAGGAAGCTTGATTTTTTCTTTTTTTCCTCCCCAAGGAAATCATTGGTAGAATGAGCACATTCCTGCAATTTGTTGTTGTTGTTGTTGTTGTTGCATCCATTCACCTTTCCCCTGGCAAAAGAGAAGGGACCAGGAAAAGTTGGCACCAGCCCTATCCACTCTGTAAACATTGATTTTTGTGTGTTTTTAGTTTGCCATGTGCAGCGAGTGCCCTGAAAACACCATGCTGCACTGATTCACTCAGTGATGAAGAATGAACACACAAGCAATGCAATCAATAGGTAAGCAAGATTAATGGCTTTTCAGCTTACTTCCCCCCCGTGTGAAACAAATCCAGTGTTGTGATTTGGCTACACAATGTTTATCCAATTTTAGGTGCTAATAGCAGCCTCTCTGTGTGCACAGGTCATTTGCTCACATAGTTTGGACTTCTCCTCATTTCAGCATTGCGTGCTCTTGCTTTGCTTAACTGCAGAGAAAATTCCTGGAGATAATCACTTGCCTCCAGGGACGGAGTGCAAAAAAAGCAGAACATGAAGCCAACCTCTGGCCCTGGCTCTGCCCCTGCTGCCTGCATTCCTGTGGCTGTGGGGAGCTGGGGGTGGAAATCTGAGCAGGGTTCTCTCCCCACAGTTTGCTTTGGCATCAGCACTGGGGTTTGGCTTGAGAGTGCTCGGCTGAACAACTGCCTCTTGTCTCCTGGTTATGTGTTAGGGATGGATGTGAACTGTCCAACCACACCATCTCTGCCATGGGATGTGACCATCAGCTCCTGGGGAGCAACGTGCCCAGCACAGCCCCATTTCTCCAGCACACAGCTCAGAGAAATGTAATTACACCGCATCCTTTGCATCGATGAGGAGCAGCAGCAGGCTGAGTCTCATGGGACGTTCTTCATTGCGCTGAAAGCTGACTTTATTAATTACCAGCCTCTGATCTCATTTGAGGGCTGAGTTTATGAAATGGAATCCTTATTTCTCTGCGTTCCTTGTTCATCTCTCTTATTGAGTTGTGCCCAGTGGATGCTGGGGTCTTTAGAAACTCCTGGGCTCTCCTGTGATGGAGCTATGAGCTGTGCAGGGCAATGTGGTGGAATTGCTCTGAAGTCCTGGGGAAAGGGAGAGAAAGAAATCTCCTCTCAAAAAACAGACAATGGGGACAGCTGCCTGGTTTTGCTCCTGGATTGCAGCTCGTTGTGCCTTCCCTGAGATGTCCCTTTTCTCATGTGGGAGGTGATGGCAGCACCCAGAGGTGCTGAGGGGACACTGGTTGGATGCCCAGAGCCGTGCTCAGCCCTGGGTGCAGCTCAGTTCTGCTTGTGAACAGCTTCCCAACCTGCCTCTATGCAGCGAGGCCTGGGTTTGCCTTTAGGCATTTACAGGAGTGCCTGTTTTTCCATCTAGACATCAAATATTATTTTATTTTAAAAGGGAAAATAGCCACTAAACAGTACTTGAAGCTTCAGGCTAGTGCCTAATTCCACTTGATGAGCTTTGTTAGATAATTGTAATACTTTTCTGAGAGAAAATAGAGCAGTTGAGGCTTGTAATTAAAAGCTATTCAGACAGCTTTGATCTTTCTCTCTGCATCTCTACTTACGAAAAGCAAATGCCAGTGAGAAACACACGACAATATTTACTGTCACTGTACTTGGTGATTTGCTTTAAACCAACTCCCTTCCAGCACAAGGGAGCTGGGGAAACGGAGCAGTGCAACCTGTGGCTTTTTGGGTGCTTTCTTTGGGAAGCTCTGTGTTTCGGAGGATGCCTGGCCTCCTGCCACTCCATGAGAGCAGCATTGCTGTAGCTGTGATCCCATGGCCCAAACTCGTTCTCAGGTGCCCTTCTGACTCACCACATAACAGCCCAGCCTGGATCATTAAGGCTGGAAAAGACCACTAGGGTCAGTTAGTGCAAACATCAACCCATCCCCACCGTGCCCAGTAACCACAAAGCTCAGTGCCCTTCACCTCCAGCACTGAGCTCCGAGGTGCTCAGAGCCCTGCAGGCATCACCCTGGGCTTGTGCAGAGCAGGGCAGCTCACAGGATCCTGCACTTGCAGTGGGAGCATAGTGGCTGGTGGCATAGCAACTCCAATCATCACCATCCCAGATGACACTCAGGGGCTCCCACAATCTATAGGTGACAAGGCAAGGGCTAAGCATAAGTCAGGTCGTACAGAAAAGGGACTAATTATCTTTCTGAGATGGCTTAAATAATGTCATCTAGAAGCGCTTCTGTTTCATATCTTCTCTATTCCAAGTTTTCTCCCATCTGGTTTTCATTGCTTTGCTTTGATTTTTTTTTTTTTTTTCCCCCTCATCTAAATGTCCTTCTGAAAGCAGAGCCTCCATTCCTCACTGGAGCATTATGTCATTTCTCACTCAAAGTCGTGACCAGCAGCAGGAGGCTGTGCCAATACCGGGGGATTACGGCTCCGTGTGGGAACAAGCTGCAGCACAACTCAACCGAGGACAATTGACCGAAACAAACATAATTTCTTGCTGCAGAGCAAAGACTTAAAAAGCAATAGCAATTTCTGATCCCTTCTCTTTCTCTCAACTGCCTGCATTTAATGCCTGTGGTGGGAACTTGAGCCCTGCGTGAGCCCTGATTCCTGTTTTGAAGGTGGGAAATGGCCCCTTCTCCCTCTCCCAAGGATGATGAAGGGAGCAACTGGGGGAAGCAGACTCATTAAGGTTGGAAAAGACTACTGAGATCAAGTCCAACCATCAACAGATCACCATCTATGCCCATTAAACCACATCACTCAGTGGCACGAAGGAAGGCGATGTTGCTCCCAGATAGGGGACAGGTAGGAGCAAGCCAAAAGCCCCCAGCTCTGCGTAGGCAGGGAGTTGTGGGGTTTCCCAGCCTTTATTAAGGCATCCCAGAAGGAAGTTCATCTGCTTTGGTTGCAGAGTTGGACTGCCTTCCCCAGTGCATCGATGCATGGTCACTTGTGGGGGAAGGGAGAGAAGGGGGAGATAAGGGAGGGACGGAGCCCCATGAAACCCTGGGGAACCTTGGAAGGGATGCTTGGGTAGAAAGAACACTAGCAGAGGGTTCTTTAGGTGACTTATTAAGGGTAGTTATTTCCCTGCTTCCAGCCTTCAAGATGCAGCTGGTCCGGTCTGCAATTAACCCAATCAGAGACTCAAGCAAGCGTTCAAGTTTTTACTTTAGGGGTGAAATTTGTGCCGAAAGCGGGCGAGCTGCCAGCAGCCGGGCTCTGCGTGCTCACCCCGAGCGTTCAGCATCTCCCTCCTGCGCGGCCGAGCGGCGCTACGAGATGCGGACCTGCGAGCCGAGAGTGCCGCTCAGCGCTGCGGCACCGGGCAGCAGCAGCACCCAGAGCACGGGGCAGCCCCCTCCTGCACCCCCTCAAAAGAGCGAAGAGGAGCTGAGCTTCTTCTTGTCTTGAAGCGATTTAGACTCCACAGGTGCTCTGTTGCCTTTCCTACAGATGTAACGCTAATAACTTCGGAGTTGTACCCAGCGAGGCGATTTGGGTGCAGCGTGTGTCGGTTTGTGAGGTTTTCCCACCCGGGTGCCCGTCGCCAGCAGATGGCAGCCGTGCTGAAGCGGTTGGTGTCTGTGCCAACCCTCCGTCCTCAGCCCTTCTGGGCTGGTCCGGAGGTCCTGCAATACCTCTGCACCCCACTCCTGCCCCGGGAAGGTGGGTCAGGACCGCAACCCCCAGCTTTCCTTCCTAAATCAGCCATTAGTCTCACATCCCAACCGCCAGCTGCCACATCTCACCCCTCCTCGAGGCATGCAATGCTTCCAGCAGCACCTTCCAGGTAGAGCTGATTGCCTCCCAGTTCCTCCTCTTGTGACTGAGGCTTGCTAAGCAAACAGCCCCCCTCCCCCCCACACACACCAACCACACGTTGTCATTTCTGATTTGGACAAACCTTTGTGTTTTCTCGTATTGGAGGGAGCCAAAGGCACAAGGTACAGCTAACAAGAAATAGATTTGAGCCATGAAACTTGGCTCCTGAACTTTGTGGGCAATAAGTCATCAGGTCTAAGGCTGGGAAGAGAAGGCAATAGGAATGATGAAGGGAAGGGCCTTCATGCTGTATTGAAGGCTTCTGATTTTGGCATCAGGGAACAGATGGGCCTGATTTGCCCCAAATGGCCTCACCTGGGACCCCTACCTGCTTTTCCAGTAGTCTGTTATGCTGGTGAAGGAAGGCTCTGCTTCTACAATTGCCTCTTGGATGGTGCTTGAGCTTATGTTGCTGCTCCATTTTGTGGATGGGCATCAGACCCATGCTCCAGGTAAATCACCTCCTGGATGGGCTCTGGTGTGTGTGTGTGTTATGGCTTGTTTTAGGTTCTGTTTGCTTTGTTCTGTGCTTTCCTGACAAGGTGTGGGTAGATAAAAGCTCAGCTTCATGCTTGTAAATTTGGGGGAGGGCAGAGAGGGACACTTAAGCAGGGTCATAAAATCATAGAATGGCCTTAGGTTGAAAAGGACCGTAATGTTCATCTAATTTTGATCCCTTCATCCCTTCCCTCCTGCAAAGGTGGGACTTCTGGGAGCATTGCACTCACACTGCTTGTGGCTCTGAGCCCTGCTCTGCTGTGCAGGTGAGCAGTGGAGGTGAGGTTCCTCCATAGTTATTAAATCTGGAAGGTGTGTGCCCATCCCACAGCCCTACAGGGAGGTACAGAGGATGGGGTTGCAACACATTCATTTATTTCTCGTGGCTCTTGGTGCACAGCTTTTGGTCTCCAGGTGCTTCACCTCAAGCCCTGTTTCTGTGAAGCACTTTGCTTTATTATTTATCTGTTGAAGGTGGACCTGTACCTGCAGTGATTACTGACAGCCTTGTGACTTCCAAAGCACCTCAGTTGTTACCAATTGATGATGTTGTCTTTTACATAGAGAAAGCACAATGTGTGTAGCAATGACATGGGACAAATAGCACAAGGTTTCTGCAGTGAAAGAAGGACCAGGCTCTCCTTTCTTTTTCCCCATGAAGTTTATTTAGTCAATCACTCTAAATAAATAGATATCTGACGTTGAACAGGAATCATTAGTTAAAAATAATTTCTAACACAAATTCCCACTGTAACCACAATATTTTTAAGGTGTGTTATTGAACAGCACTTTTAAGACACGGGTTTTTCTTTTGGTTTAAACGTAACAGCTGTTAGCAGTTCAAAAAAGAAGGAAACTGGGGTCAGAGTGGAGCTGACATCCCTCAAACAAAAGCAAAGCTGTAACACGTGTGCACACATGAAAATGGTTATTTTCTCTTTCCTAGCACTCATCTTGCACCCTCTCTGTTGTTAATATGTCACAAAGTGAATGTTAGCCCTCAGCCTGAAAGTTGGTCTACAGCTTCACTGTGCTGTACAGCAGATGGCAATAAAGGACCGCTGTGTAGCAGAAGCAAACCTTTGCAAAAGAAGTTTTCTGTCCTTACTGCTTTGGGGTGTGATTAAAAATGAGAACGTAGAAACACAGCTTTGAGAAGTTTGGGGCTGCAGAGATGAAAAATGCTGGACGAATTGTGAATGATGATGGTAAACATACATTACATAGAAACTAAAGAGAAGACTTGTGCATTCGTTAGCCGCCCTCTGAAGTCTGCAAAGTTTCCCTTGCAAAGCTATGGGAGGGAAGGGAGCTGCAAGCCTCCCATCCACTGTTCAAGAAGTTCTGCATTCCAGCATCTTCCGGAAGCTTTTTCGAAAGCTGTCATCCAGGAAAGCATACAAGAAAGGATTCAAGCATGAATTGGCATAGCTTAGACTGGTGATGAAGTAGGAGATACCAATGACCATGGAGGTTTGGGGCAAGTCAGTGGTCAGAGCCACGATGGTGGCCAGGTGGAAGGGGGTCCAGCAGAAGAGACACACGGCCAGGACGATGAAGACCATGATGGTGACTTTCTTTTTGGCTTTGTCCAGAGCTCTGGCATTAGAGTTCAAGTGCATATTCCTCAGCTTGTAGAGCATCATGGTGTAGAGGATGCAGATAGTGGACACTGGAATAGCAAAGCCAAGGATGAGGGTATAGATCCTGCTGGCCTTGAACCAAAACCTTTCAGGCTTGGGGAAATTTAAACCACAACTCTTGATCTTCAGGTCATCTATGTATACGTTGGCAAAGATGATGAAAGGGAGGACTATGATGGTGACCAGGATCCAGATGCACAAGCTGACGATCCTGGCTGCTCGGTACGTACGGTGTGGCATCCTCTTGGACCTGACTGTAGCCAGTACTACCAGGTACCTGTCTATGCTCATCACTGTTAAGAAATAAATGCTGGAGAAGATGTTGTAGTGGTCTATGGACAAGATGAGCTTGCAGAGCACTTCTCCAAAGGGCCAATAGTGGAGGAGGTGTTCAGCGATATTAATGGGCAAGACAAGTGTGAACAAGTCATCGGCTATAGCAAGGTTCAGGATGAACATGTTTGTCACAGTCTTCATCTTGGGAGCCTTGAGGATCACGTAGATGACAGCAGTGTTGCCTGTGAGCCCAACAGCACAGATGACAGAGTAAATCACAGGGAGGACGACATAGAAATCAGCTGATTGCTCTTGGAAGGTGAAGTTGAACATCATATCGCTGTCCAGGTAGGAGCTGTTGGCTGCATTGCTGCAGGTGCCGTTCAAACTGTCCCACAGAGAGCTGTTCCCCATGCCTGCTGGTCACAGGCTGCCCTCTGGCGTCCAAGGCTTCATGAACAAAGCAGATGAGAATTGTACCCCCCTGTGCAAGTGGAACAGCTCTCAGAGCATCTTGGTGAGCCGCTGCTTTCCTCTGCTGGAGGGGTGCAGTTCAGCTGTTTGCAGTGAGAGTCCTCGAGGCTGGCAGCAACAAGAAGGGCAGAGGAAGCTTTGTGTCTGGGCAGCTTTCCTCCTCCCCTGGAGGATGTGAGGGACGGCTGTCTCACTTGCACAGTGCTTGCTTTTCCATATCAGAGCAGGAGCACTGCTGTATTTAATTAGTGCCTTTCTTCAGATTCAGGGCTTCAAGCTCATTTCAGCAGCAGAGATTGCACGTACAGTAACATTTATGACACAGCTATTCTCCTCTCCCAGGGTGCCCTAGCAGAAGAAAGAAATAAAGTTAAAGGAGTATTTCCGAAACTAAGTTAAAGGGGCTTAACCCACATTTAAAGTAACTTTATTTCTTAAGCGAGGTAGGTTATGATCTTACTCACTACGAAGAGCATCCACTTGTGGCAGCATGCAAAAGTTGGCACAGACAGACAAACCCACAAATCCCAAGTTGAGGATTAGCCAGCCAAAAAAAAAAGGGGAGAGCACCATGAAAGCAGATCCACTTGAAAGTCAAGGAAAGAATCTCCCCTTCTGCTTACAGCTTTCCGGCTGCTCCCACCTCATCCATGCTCCCAAAAATTCCTCTGCAAGGAAGGGAACAAAAAAAAACCCCGACCCCCTGTGCAGATCAAAGATTTGGCAACTGGTCCCCAGGCTGTGCTACGAGAATTGCTTTGCTCTGCTTGCAGTTTCTCACTCAGCCATACAGTGAGCAGGAACAGCACGGGACAGAGGGCTGCGGGGTCCCTTACCTGGTGTGCAGCTCTGCTGCTCCTCCGGCACCGCTGCTCCGTGTAGCTCAGCCTTGGCTCGCCGATCCCAGCTGGAGGAGGGTCCCCGGGATGCTGACGTTACCCATCTTTGAGATCATAGCAACATGGTGGCTGTGTGTGCATGGCACGGCTGAGCAATTAGCACTCCTTCCCATCGGGGGAGAAGAAAAGTTGTGTGTGTGTGCTGGGCTATTTAAATAGGAAATGAGGCAGATGCCGGTGAGCAGCTGGTGCAGCAGAGCTGCTCTCTTCAGGAATGAGGTGCACAGGCAGCACCCAGGGCTGTCAGGCTGTGGCTGTTTGAGCAGGGGATGTGTGAAGCGGCAGAGGGGGGGGAGTTGGAATATCCCAATAGGGAGCACTGGCTGTTTTTAACAAGGAAAGATGCACAAATGTAGGGGGGGGGAGGGAGGGAGTGGGAGGAGGGCACACAGCATTACTGAGCTGGTAATGAAAAAATAAACAGCCATACCTTTCCAGAGCGCTGCTGCTTCCAGCTGAGCTCCTGGTCCAGCTTTTGGAAACACAGCTTAATCTTGGGATGTGCTCGAGGAGGTGCAGAAGTGCTGTAAAGAAACACACCCCAGGTTGAATAACGAAGTCAGCACCAGCATATGATCACTTTTATTTTCATGTGAACGTAGGAAGGAAGCCAAAGGTCATCCTCATTCTCCTTTAGTCTTTTAAATGCAGCACCCAGCTGGAGGCTGCCTGACCTTTGATTTAATAGCAGAGGAGAGGCATCCATCCATCAGCACTCTGCTGCCAGCGTGCAGCACCAAGCGGCTCAGCGTGTTGGAATGAGCCATGCTGTTAAGAGCTGTGTTTGATTTTTGCTCCTTTTCTGGGGATGTTTGCCCTTTTCTAGCAAGATTCCTGTGCACTGGTAATGGGCTGGGAATCAAACACTTTGAAGTGTCTTCTTGAGGGCCATGGGCAGAACTGACTTTTCAGCAGACGCTTCTTTTTTTCCCAGGCCTGGAGCACAACTCTTGTTGGTATTTTCTGTATCCCTACCAAAATCTGGTTAGTTGCCAGACCTCAGCAAAATGAAACAAAGTGAAGATTGCCTGAGGAATATCCATAGAAATTATAAGAATGTTATTCCATCAGAAAATTGGCTCCTCCAGAGCTGCCCTCTTGCTTTTCAGGGGAAAATTGGAACAGTTTGTGAGTTGTTGTAGGGGAAGCTGGGTTTGATAGGGCTGCAATGGGAAGGCATTGGTTTAGGAATCACTGTTCTCTTTGTCAAGAATACATTGAACAATAAAAGAAAACAAAAAACAAACAAACAAAAGAATGGGGAGAATGAAATGCTAGATCTACTGTTCACAGAGAGAGATTATCTGGGGGAAAAAGTATGATTGCATGAGGGGGAATGTGAGGCTGTCAGAAACTTGCCCAGATCCAAACTCAGCATGTGTGAGCAGGTCTGGGTGAGATGCATAGCACTACTGCAGGTGTAACTGATCTGCAGGTGACACTGTCACCATGGGAATGTTACCTGCTGGCTGTGAGGCTGCTTGGAGGGATCCTGGGGTGGATTTTGACATCCACTGGAGGAGCAGAGCTTCTCATGAACCTGGTCCCAGTCCCTGCACCTTGCCATTGTGATGCAATGTGTGCCTATCAGAGAGCATCTTCTGGATCTCACTGGTGTTAAGGTGGGTTTTATTTCCAACCCTTTGTGAAATATTCTCTCTCTGGATGGAGATGAGAGGGAGCCCCATCGCTGCTGGGAGATGGAGGGAAGCAAAGGAGCTGACAGTTCTGGCAGCATCAGTGGTTCTTCTTTCTGGGTGGGACTTGTTTGTTTCCACACTAATTCCCAGAAAAGAGGCTGACAGGCTGAACCAACCTTTCAAAGCAAAATCTGTACCGCTCATCTCATGTGTGTGTTACCTGGCTGTTGTCTTTAGAGCTGCTGCTTTCAGAGTGGGTGGTCCCTCACACACAGTGCATCCCGGAGGGGAAAGGCTGAAGGACTTTCCTCCTTTATTTCAAATTGTGCTGTAAGGTGATGCAGAGAGCTGTGAGGACAAGAGGTATTATTGCCTGCTGCTGTTGAAAGGTGGAAGTATTATGATCGCGATCTATTCCCCAGCTCAAAAGTTGTAAAAGTGTTTGCACTGAAGGCTTCAATGGGAAGATTTTCTATTTTCCAGCTCAAGGAACTCCTGATGCCCTTCCTTTCACTCCCCAGACTGTTCTTCCCCTGGGATTGGCTTTCATGTTGCTTTAGCTGTGTGCCTGGGTGCTGCTATCTGTGGGGTGCACTCCCAGGGGAAGGGTTTGGGGGCTGCATGCATGGCATTTGTTCTCAGGACCCGCAGTGAGCACAGCATCCTGCGTGCTTTGGTTGGGGTGTGTTTGATTAAAGCTTTGTCGGAGATGAGAGGGTGACTAAGAATCTCATCTTGTTGTCTAGCATGAGGAGGGGGCTTTTGTTTCTTTTATATCCCCAAGACAAATGCGCTGACCGTGCTTTCCCTGAGCTCTGTTCTTAGACAGATTTGCAGTAAAATTCACTGACTTATGGAGAACGATTGCAAACATGCAGTGGCATGAAACCCTGAGAATCAAGCACTAGTTAACTCACTGTTATGGCCACAGGTGGCATCTTCCCTCTGAGGCATTTGGACCCATCCTTGTGCAGACAGCCCCATCACCAGCACGATGCAAGAGGGACAAAGTTTCTATCCCCAGCAAATATGTGTGGTGGAGATGGGCTTTTCCTCTTGAAACTCATATTCGCTCCATACAACTTGAGTCAGCTATGCAAAGGCAGGCAGTATTTTAGGGAGGGGAAAATCCCCTGTGTTGCAAAATCAGTGCTGCTTTACTGCTTCCATAAAGCGAATGCACTGCTGACTGCAGGCATAGGCCATCCATCACTTTGGGGCTGTGGAAAATGGTGATGCTTGGCTGCAGCAGCACCCACAGCTCTGGGCACAGGCAGGGCTGAAGCCTTCTTTTCTTTTGGAGAACACAGCAAATCGTCTGTGAGATTGCTCCCCTATTGATGGCAGTGTGAGTGATGTTGTCCAAACTCCTGCAGCCCCTCAGCAAGGAAACCCGGGGGGATGATGAGGTGGAACTTTCTTTGTGTGCTCAACATGTCCTGAGGGTCTCTGAGGCCACTAGAGCAGTGTTGTGGCTGGGTCCAGCTTGGTAAAACAGCTCTGCTTCACCCTTCAAAGGGGATTAGCAGGGAGAGGATCCTGTTTCGTTGGGCTTCTGCTGCTTTCAAAGAGTCAAGTTCATCTCAAGGACATGGATGTGCAATCAATACTTTGCTCACCAAAACAAAATGTTCTCTGCCGACTGCCTTGCGGTCGCTGGTTATTAGGGTGATTTATTTGAATGACTCGTTCGTACTTTTCAAAAGGTGGTGCAGCACTGCGGGTTAACATTCAGCACTGATTGTGTCAAGCGATCTCTAAGTGGTGGTTTCTGGCAAGAAAAGGCAGTGCTGTGTTATTTATTGGGGGGCAACATGAGCTGTATTGTAGGCCCTGCCTTGGAGCTGCTTTTGAGCTGTGCAGGTCCCTGTCTGGATGGTTGCTCACGGGGCTTGGTCATTTCCCCCAATAATCTCCTGCTCCTTGAGCTGGTGGGTGAGCTGAAAAGGGGAAGCCTGAGCTTGTTGTCACTCCTGTCCTGCTCTTTGTCATGAGCCATGGTATCTGCAGCAGCTTCCCAACCCTTCCAGGCTGTCTTAGGGGAAGGATAGCACCCTTGGGAACTAGGAGAAGGGTGCTGGTTTTACTGAGTAGGGGATGGAGTAGGGAAATGGGTAAACTGTTTATAAAAAAGGTGTCTCTGAATGGCAATAGCAATTGTGATGGATTCAGCAGTCTCCATCGCATCCAGCCTGCTGCAAGCTGGAGGGAAGCAAAGTTAAAATGCAGGTGCTTAAAGAAAAAAAAAAAAAAAAAAAAAAAAAGTAACGAATCCTCTAAGCGGCCTGCTCTTGTCAGGTGAGAGATGTATCAATAACTGCCCAGTTGCTGTCTCTGCAGGGGAGCAATTAAGATAAATGCTGCGTGATTTGTTCCTCAGAGCGGCTCTGATGGGAATAAAGCCGGCGGGCGCGGGCAGCACCGCGGACAGCTCCGCTCCCTGCCAGGAGCGCTGCGGTCCGATCAATTAACGGAGCTCCGGCCGCGTGCCCGAGCCTTGAGAACAAGGACCTGTGGCTGGTCTTGCTGCAATTTATACGAGGATTTAAAGGGTAAGGATAGAACGCTAGAGAGCTGCTTTTAACCGCTCAATTCTCAGCTCTTCGTCTGGTTTCAGCCTTTTTTTCCAGAGAGAACAAAATCAAAATGATTCTTCATCTCAGGGTGCTTCTAGTCTCATCGTTTTCTCCTGCTTTTCTCTAGGGCTGGAAGTTGGAGTTTCTGCCCTGAGTCTGCACAGAACAGAGCCCACTGTGGGGAGGAAGGCTTCTAGAATGGGGGTGGAGGAGTGGCATCCACTTTTCTCCATGCAACTCATCTCTGTAGGGTCTGGGGGTTCAGGGGTGTTATTGCTCCCCTTGTGACGATGCTGTTGCCACGACTGTGTGGTGAGGGCTTCCCAGTGGGGAAAGTGCATCTTCTGTTTTTCCCTAAGTCTTTTGGGAGTTGAAAGAAGGCAGTGCTTGACCTGGAATGCCAGAGCCCCGCTGGCTTCAGTGCAGCACTGGGACTGATGTCATTGAGTGCACTGCTGGTGGTTGCAGCCCTTGGAAAGAGCAGGGAGCATCACCTGTGAGTGAGCTGTTTTCTGGGCTTGGAGATTTTGCTGTTTCCTGTCTCGAGTTTCTTTCATCTGAATCATGGTTTCAGTGTAATCCAACTTCAGGTCCCATGCCCATGAGAAAAAAAAACCAAAACAAGAACAGGCTGTGTTGCAGTACCGCAGGCTGCAGTTAGCTCCTTGCATTTGTAGTCACCTTGGGATGCTGTTCACAGTCAAACTTGTCCATGAACACTGAGTTGTGGGCTGGGGTATGTTTTCCTGCTGATTACTAAGGCACATATGCACGGCAGAGCTACTGGGAGACTCTCCAGCAGAGTTATAAGGGGGAATACTCCAAAAGGATTACTGTAAAGGATAATTAAGAGGAGGTTATTTGCTCTGATAGGTGGAAAAGCAGTGGGTGTAAGTCAGCAGACAGAGATCTGCTGCTCTCCTGACCCCTCACCCAGAATGGGGTGTGCAGAAGTTCTGCTTTGTCAGTTGCTATTAAGCTGGCAATTGACTCCTAACAATTCTTGGTTTCCCGTGCTGCTTTCAGGTGATAGGAATTTACTTCTTGAGTTTTTTATAACAGAAGGGTCGCTTTCTGACAAGTTTA